AAATGAGACGTTTTCCTGTTTATCTTCTGTTAATAAATCCATAACACAAACAGCTTTTCTGACATTAYTGAAAACATTAGATAGATTATATAAACTGTAAAATGTTAATAATAATTGTGTTAATATTATTATTAATAGTTTTAATGATTTCTACATGGTCAGTCCTTTTTTCTGCTCTGTTGTCATCATGTACAGTAATGGGAAATCCAGACTCTTGACCTTGTAGCGTTAGCCGTTAGCTTCTCCAGCCGATCACACGGTCATGTGGTTTCTGAGCACTCCAGTTCTATAGAACCTCCTTGTAATTCACAAATAAAAACCTCTAACTTTTCTACAACTACTGGTTGTCTTTGATGCTGAATTTCACGATTCATCCTGAACCCTCCTCCTCACCTTGCCAGAACAGGATTGGTCACTTTGCTGAACTCCAGGCACATAAACCTGCCCCCAGGTTTCAGAACCCGCAGAGCCTCCTGAAGAGCCTGAAAAACAGCCATTAACAATGCTGGTTATCAATTAGGAAAAAAAAATAACAGTTTTAATTTAGAAACGATTCATGATGCAACCTGGACTCCGCCCCAAACTATATTTATTTAAGGAATGTAAAATCCCAGCACACCAGACACAGTCCTGAAATTATGACTGAATAAAATCCAAGCTTGTAGCAGAACCAGCAGCGATTTCTGCCTCTTACCTGATCAATACGAGTGACGTTTCGAATGCCAAAGGCGATGGTGTAAATATCAAACTGATCATCGAAGAAGGGCAGCTCCTCTGCATCGCCCACCACCCACGACAGACCTGACAGTTTTATAAAACAAAAACAAACAAATAAAGAGAGGGAAAGAACACTTAGACGTGCTACAGTTGCCCTAAAACCTACTACAGGTACTGAAAGCTTCCCGACACCTGCAGTTATTTTAGGCTCACCAGAAGAGATGCCCATGCTGTCGGCTTTCTGTTTGCCCACTTTCAGCATCTCCAGGTTGATGTCACAAACGACAGCCGTGGACGCTCGCGGTTCGTCCTCCGTCACGTCATCATCAGAGCCGTCCTGCCACGACCGAGTCCGGCTGGACTGCGCCGCTCGCAGCCTCTGCCTCTCCCGCTGATACCGAACATAATCCAGGAAACGGAAAGCAATGTCACCTGCAGGGGGAGGATCAGTGCAGAGTCACAGCAGAGGATTCAGCTGGGTAAACAAAGGTTTTTTGTTTGTTTTGTTTTGTTTTACCTGTTCCACCTGCCACATCCAGGAGCCGGGCACCGGGCTGTGGGTGCATGGCGTGCAGCAGGATGTCCTTCCACAGTCGATGAATCCCCAGACTCATGGCATCGTTCATAACGTCATACTTCTGAGCAACGTTCTCAAACACCTTGTACACTGAAAAAACAAGCATGACCTGGAATTTAACTGTTTACCTGTTTGGTCTCTTACAACAAATGAAATCTTAGAACCCATAGTTAGGCTCTACAACAGGGCCTACAAAATTCATAAAAAACTTCCTGGT